ATTTTTGAGTGGACTTTGCTGTTCCGATTTGCATGAACGGTATACGAGTGGAGCGACTGAGCGGGAGCGCACACGCATAGAGCGGGATAATACACAGAGCGTCACACCACGTGAAAGTGAATCCTGAGCGGTGAACTAATTTTCGGCATTCGAAATTTCGGTGCATCTCTAATTATTGGCGACATCAGAAATGGATATTATATAATAGATGCTTTTTTGAACATTTTAGCAATTTAAAAATATTTTAAAAGGATTTTTTACACACGGCACCCCTGCTCTCGACAGACGGCACCCCGGTTGGGAAACACTGCCCTAGACTACCCATAATACAACGTTTCAGGGATCGTTCAGAATAGCACAAGATAGAATAGAGAGGGATTAAGGAAAAGTGAAAGCATAGTTTTTTTGTTTTTTTTTTCAATAGGATGCTCTCACAAGAGATGAGTTTTCAGCACTCTCTTGAATGTTGTCAGGGATTCTGTGTTCTGGATGGGGTTGGAAAGATCATTCCACCAGCAAGGAACGGTGAACGAAAATGTTGTGGAAAGTGATTTTGTGCTTTTCTGTGATGGCACCATGAGGTTGTAGATTTGTAAGAATGGATGGTGCTGAGCCTGTGGCTGTTCTATATGCAAGCATCAATGTCTTGAACTTTATGTGATCTGCAAGCGGTAGCCAGTGGAGAGGGATAAAGAGAGGCGTCACGTGAGCTCTTTTGGACTTGTTGAAGACCAGATGTGCTGCTGCGTTCTGCGTCATTTGTAGAGGTTTAATTGCAAATGATGGAGGTTCAGCCAGAAGAGCATTGCAATAGTCCAGCCTAAAATGACAAGGGCCTGGACAAGAAGTTGCATGAAGAAGCATGATCTGTTAGGAAGGACCTGATCTTCCAGAGAATGACCTTTGTCATCTCAGGCATTATTTTTGGTAATTTGCTTTCATTTTTTCTGATTCAGTCTATAGTCTTCTCTCTGTGTAATTTCAGGGGTCAGTTTGATAACCGTCCAGTGGCTGTGAAGAGGATTCTCCCAGAATGCTTCAGCTTTGCTGACCGTGAGGTTCAGCTGCTGCGTGAGTCAGACGAGCATCCAAATGTGATTCGTTATTTCTGCACAGAGAGAGACCGTCAGTTTCAGTACATTGCCATAGAGTTGTGTAGCTCAACACTACAAGAGGTATGACAAACACCACACATTACATTTAATTGTTTTCAGGTTAAAAACCCAAATTGAATATAACAGTAAAAATGTATTTGAATATGCATTTTGATTTGATTTAAAATACATCAAACCACAAGAACAAAAACTTCTATCATTGACCATTTAACACATATAAAGGATTTATTAATGTAACCCTAATCATTTACTTGAACTGACATGGAGAAAACCTAATAATCATGTTATCCAGCATGATTTGAGAATGTTCCAGCGAGCATCTTGTAATTCAGCAGTAAGCATCTGTTTCACAGGAGTTCACATGTCATTGTCATAACTTTACTTGGATTTGTAGTGATTTGAAGTAGTGTAGGATTTAATTTTAACCTTTCTTTGTTTTAAATTTCCCAAAGCAACCTAATTCTTTCCTAAAACATTCAGTTCATTTTCAGGTGTAGATGAAAAACTGATTTTCAATTTGTTCTTTTTAGGTCATGCAATGCTATATTGTATATTTACTTACTTATTTATATTTTATTGCCTTTACTTTTAGTATGTGGAACGAAAGGATTTTAACCGCCACGGTTTGGAGCCAGTGACACTGCTAGAGCAAACCATGTCTGGACTGGCTCATTTACATTCTCTTAATATAGGTAACCAATCAGCTACATCAGTAATACATTTTTAAATAATCAATCTTCATGAAGTACTGTTTTTTTTTTTTTTCATTCAATCTCTCAATCTCTCATGGGTTTATAGTCCACAGAGATCTGAAGCCACACAACATCCTGGTGTCGATGCCGAACACACATGGGCGTGTGAAGGCCATGATCTCAGACTTCGGCCTGTGCAAGAAGCTGGCAGTGGGCAGACACAGCTTCAGCAGGAAGTCTGGGGTCCCGGGCACCGAGGGCTGGATTGCTCCAGAAGTGCTCAGTGAGGATGCAAAGCATAACCCTGTAAGAGCTCAAACACATGCTGTGTGGCCATTTGCTTTGGTTTTAGCACACCTAAGAGAATGAAAAATGTTCTGGGTTTTTCTTTATTTTTCAATACGTTTAAATATTATTTTAATATTATAAATATAATATCGATTATTAAAGGTGACATCGGATGCCCATTTTCCACAAGTTGGTACGACACTTTAGGGTCTTCAGGAAATGTCTGTAACATACTTAGGTTAAAATTCCTCAGTGGTAATGTAAAACAACACCCTTTTTAACACTCTCTGTTCACAGCGACCCGTTTCAGTGCATGTCTCTAAATGACAATGAGCTACTGCTCAATGTTGACACAAGACCGGTGAATTGCTGCCTTGGACTCAGTATATGGCTCGGAGGTGGTCTTATTCAAATAGTGAGCTATCTATGTAGAAACCGGCTGCAAATTGAAATAGCTCGCTGGATGACAGTTTCAGATTCAGACAGCTCAGCTTTTCTGAGCTGGCAGACACGCCAGAAACCTAAGTAAATGCAAAAAAAAAGCTTTAAAAAAAAGTGAAAATGTCATCCAGTGTCCCCTTTAAATATATACTGATTATAAATGTTGATAGTTTAATTAGTTATTAGAAATAATTAACTGTTTTTAATTGATACTAATCTGTTAATGTTGACTTATAAATATACTTTATATTGTTTATTGTTTGTTCGTGTTTGTTCATAATGCAATCTTTATTTATACTTATATTAGTATATGTGGAAATTAACTTAGATTAGCATGTGTTGAGAAATATTCTTCATTGTTAGTTCCTGATACTTTATTCATTATCATTATTGGTTCATTATTCATTAAAGGGATAGTTCACCTAAAATGAAAATTTTGTCATTAATTACTCGTCCTCATGTCGTTACAAACCCGTAAGACCTTCGTTCATCTTCGGAAACAAATTAAGATATTTTTGATGAAATTCGAGAGCTTTCTGACCCTGCATAGACAGCAACGGAACTACCAAAAAGGTAGTAAGGACATTGTTAAAATAGTCCATGTGACATCAGTGGCTCAACCTTTATTTTATGAAGCTGCAAGAATACTTTTTGTGCTCAAAGAAAACAAAAATAATGACTTTATTCAACAAATTCTTCTCTTCTGTGTCCGTCTTCGACACGCGTTCACGCCACGGCAATACCATGACGCTTGTGTGTACATTCCTCTGCTTGTAAACAAGGCGCAGCGCATAAGTGTTCTACGTCAGAACGCAGGCTCCTGCGTCAGCAGCACCACATGCAACACACGTCAAAGACTGACACGAAAGAGAAGAAATTGTTGAATAAAGTCATTATTTTTGTTCTTCTTAAAATTAAGGTTAAACCACTGATGTCTGTGAAGTCACCAACTTTCTGGGCCTGGGAGCATGGTAGTTGTGTTGCTGTCTATACAGTGTCAGAAAGCTCTTGGATTTCATCAAAAATATCTTAATTTGTGTTCCGAAGATGAACGAAGGTCTTACGGGTTTGGAACGACTTGAGGGTGAGAATGACATGTATATGTTTAATGAATGGATTTTTCATAGAAAATGAAGTGAAGTGTTACTCATGTCAATGCTTTGGTATAGGGTTGATGTAAAAATTGCAGTTTGCAAGAAATGTCATAACTTTTACTGTAGTAATATGTTGTGTACCCCGATGATCTGTTACAACATATAAAAATGTCCCACAATAATACTGCATCATTAGCAGAACCCATTGCAAATGGTCAGCCACACTCTACTACTACACAACAACACTTGAAGAGAACAAGTGATGATGAGTTTTATGTAACTTAAAACTGACACGGTGTAGTAAATAACAAGGACGGGACAGGGTGATCAGGACATGAAGAGCATGAAGCCTTGTTTTGTCCTGAAAGGATTTTTTTCCTGCAGTAATGACTTTGATCATTACTGACTGAAAATTAGACCGCTACTTACCAAATAAATAGACAGATATTGATTTGAAATTTATTTATGTGAGAAAAAAAGGAAGTGCACAAGTGAGACATAAAAGTTACGCAGTTTAGCTGTTATTTTACAAAAATAATACATGACTGCAGAATGCTGCGTTGACCATCAGAATAAAGTATTCCAGAAAGCCATGTCAGAAGCACTAAGTTTTGTCAATGGCTAGACAATCGCAGTTTCTCCTCTTTTCACCTCTGATGTTTCAGACCTGCATGGTAGACATCTTCTCTGCAGGCTGTGTGTTTTACTATGTGGTATCTGAAGGCCACCACCCCTTTGGAAAATCCTTGCAGCGGCAAGCAAACATTCTGCTGAGTGCCTACTCGCTGGACCACTTAGACCTTAACAGACACGGTAGGACGACCAAATGTCTTCTTGCATTCAAAAACACCAGAGCTCATTTTGGGTCAGTTTGTTAGATTTCTGATCATGTGATCATTTATGCTGTTGTATGCAGAGGATATTGTGGCCCGAAACCTGATCGAGCAGATGTTGAGTATGGAGCCAGAGAAGAGACCCTCAGCAGACAGAGTGCTAAAACATCCCTTCTTCTGGAGTCTGGAAAAACAACTGCAGTTCTTCCAGGTTAGTCAGGCATCCTTCATTTAACCAGGTTAAACGCATCTTTTGCAAACAGCGCCTTGCCCAAAAAGGCAGCAAAAGGCACAACAACAAAGTAACAATAAAACACCACATCATTTCTATTTTTAAGTTGTTCAGAATTCTATCTGAACAAACCGGTCAGTACAGTATTGTTTACATGACCTTAGTTAAAGGGATCATGAATTGGGAAATCAAAATTTCATTGATCTTTTGACATATTGGAGGTAATTTTAAACATATTTGAAGTTTCAGAACTCAAAACTTCCTCAATCCAAAAACAGTTTTATTGAAGCTGCCAAAATGGCTAATTTTCTATTCATTGTTATTTTTATTACGTATGATTAATAATACAACAACACTAGAACTGCCTACACCGTAAAAGATCAACCCTTCTTCGTCTCTTATTGGCTTCTCCCACTGGTTTGTGTGAAGGGAGAGATACAGAAACAGGATAGCTGGGAATAAAAATAGATTTAGATGCCTGTTAAATTTTCCAAATGTTGTAGAGTTCTTAGTTCTGGAACATCATTTCTAACATCAGTGTTAGGATTCTAACTCGTATAGTAAGTAGTTCTGTTTCAAAATTGTTTATTTCTGTTTATGCATCAAATCAAGTTCAATTTCATACAGATGAAAATCAGAAATTGCTCTTTTAAAGGACACATGCTCCTTAAAACAGTGTTTTCAAACCAGAGGGTCAAAAACAGGGTAGAATATGGCCATTAATGTCTAAATTAATATAACATTGGTAAGAGTTTTACATCAACATTTGTTTAAGTGAATATCAGAGAACATAAGATAAAAACAATGCAGTTCATGACCACTTTAAAGTAGTTTTTTTGTGAAACTCATCTAAAGCTAAAGTTTTTTTTTTTTTTTT